ACAGATACAGTTTTATCTCCTACAGGTTTAAAGAACGAATACAGAAACATGGTTCAACCGGGATGGCCCTTATCTCAGCTCAACAGTGGCAGCCAATAAACCACTGCCCTTTTTCTATCTGACTTTTTTCAAGCTGAACTTCGTCACTGCAAACTATCAGCACACTGTATATGCCTCAGTTTATTCTTATGTAAGCCTTCAACAAATTCAATGTGTTGTTAGTCCTCTGCACGAAGTGAACTTTACCCTGACTAGTACCTCCTTTTCTATTTCCTTGTTAAGCAAAGGAGCTAGAAAAAAAAAACCCAACCAACCAGGCATTCATGGATCTCATTTCATGGGTATCATTTAAAGATTTTGTCAGTAAAACAATTCACATGATGCTGCTCCCTCGCTTCTACATAAAAAGCAGAAGGGGTGACGTAAAGAGGTAGTGCAAGATTCCCTTTCTTTTAGAAGAGATACCGCTGATTCTGTCATAATGATGCCTTAGAGAAGTATCATTTGTACTCTACAAAATGACTGGTTTTAACTATTTTTCAGGTGCATATTGGTTCCATACGGTGACTTCGGTTCACTCTATCATTATGCTGACTGCCTTTAAGAGCACCAACTTTCATACCTCACGTAACTATTCTGTGAAGGTATATCTACGTAAAAATACACCCAAATAACAAGAGTCTGACTTGTCACAACTGCCGTTATTAACAATTACTGTAACGTTTAACCCATTAAAGTTTTCAAATACATGAATAAAGTCTACATAATTAAAATGATCATGAGACATGCTGCATACAATTAAAATGATGTCACAATACATTTACAGTATTCTATATGCTATAAACGTACCTTATACACAAACGTGTCTGGCAACATGTTTAAACACTCTACTTATTCTTCTGCTAACAATTTTTGAAGATCATGGGTTTTGAGTGCATATTGCATTTTCTTCAGGCACAGATACGGTTGACCTCAGTTTGTATTTTGAAACCAATATACGTGATAGGACAAGGAAGTATATAAGGAAGTTGAAGTTAAATTAAAAGCAGGTATGAGCATATATTTTATTACGGAGAATCAGACAAGTAAGACAGTAAAATCTGACTTCTTGTCACATTGAATTTTCTTTCACTACTCCATTATGGGAAACAGTATTTTTATAATGTAAATTTTATAGAATCATCCCCAGACTAAAGCCTGTGGCATTCTGCTGTATCCCCAAAGAATTACTTAACACAATCCCACTGATTCAAACTCAAGCCACTCATTTAATGTTACAACTCTATGCAGAATTAAAAACAAGGATCCTTTCAGATTTTAACAATGTTTTTGTGTATTTTAGTCCGTATTTTATTTATTGGTAGTAGCTCAGTGAAATTTTCTGACGTTATAGTGTTGAATTTAATTAGTCTGTTTTATCATCTGGGCAGGACCTGAAAGGAAGCTGCATGCAGCGATGTTAGTGGAGCGCAGCCATCTTTTGCTGTACAGAAATAAGACTATTCAACTTAGAAAAGTGGGTTCCTTATGTGGGTAAAAGAACCCAGGCGTCTCATGTGCACAAGAAAGGCAATATTCAGTGAGCCTGGCTCTGAGTTTACAGCACACCATCTTCTCCATGCTAACTGTATGCGGTCACTTTCATCATAGGTCATTTGGTGAGCTCCACCAGAGAGCGATTCAGCCCACTTACAATCTGAATCAGCTTCTGACAGTGTCTGCCTCTTCCTAGTGACTACACAGGGAGTCCAGGTAAACTAGGTGTATCACTTAAGGTGATGCAGTTAAATGACTAAAATTAGACAGCTCTTCATAGCTATGTCTACACTTACTTGGGACATGACCGGGGATTTTGGTCCCCTGGTCATCCATATAAAGTATCTGTGGAGAAACACCACTGTTCCTGCCTGAGAGCCATCTGATTTCCATGGAAATCAGAAGATGGTGATGGGCAGGAGGTAAACTCTGCATTCTTAAATCTTACCGTGACATGGAACTGGAACGTGACTGGAATGTACATGACTAGGACTGCTGGGCTAAACATAGGAGTAGTATAGTAATTCTGAGTTACCTCAGTTTGGAAGTTTAATTAAAAAAAAATAATTCAGATTTGACTAGGTTTTTCTAATTCTGCAGTCAATTTGCTCTTTCTGCCTGTATTTGAAGTATAGTATAGTCATTGGGTATCTGCAATTAATTATTGCCAGAGACCTGCTACGGTTATCACTTTTGATCTTTCAATTATTATGATTTGAAAAATGGAACAGTAACAAATGCTACCGTATGAAAAGTCCTTCCTTCTCCTGAGATAGAGAACACTCCAGCATATAAATACTTCCAAATTGGTTTTCTGAAAGTGATTTAAAGAGCAATACAGCTAATATGAATAATGAAGCAAAACATCAATGCCAAATAAAGGACTTATTTCTAGAAAAATGTTTTTGCACCAGAGGTTCAATATTACTGTAAAGACATTGCAATATTGAAAATTTATATTCTGAAATCTATGAGCTGTTGTCAGCAGCAATAGCACAATTTTGTAATTTTCCAAGGATGATACAGGATGCTGATTTCTTGTGAAAACGAGAGACAGGAAATGATCTTATAAACCGTCTGCAAAGTACTCTGAATAGTCTTGAAAGTACTGAAATGCATTTGTTATCATGTGTTCTGACTATGGATCAAGTTGGAAATTAAAGTCTTTTAAAAATCAAGAGGAAAAATTTGAATACAGTATCAGAAAATTAATCAGCCTGAATCTTGAAGAAACCCAGTAACTACTACTGAACTCCTGCACTGAGGAAAACTAAGAGGAAAATAAAATACCTGCCTGCAAGGATAATTTGCTTTGAAGTAATAGTCTAAATATAAACCTACTCCTATAAACTAACTAAAAACAAGTGGTTATATTTAGACTATACAAAAAAATGAAGCAAAAATGGCAATAGTGTCAATTACTTTCTAGACGACATATAAACTACCAAAATATTTCACAGAAAAATGGAAATACACCTTCAGTGTAGAAATGGAGCCAAAAAACATCTTGAAAAGATACTTCCTTAGTACAGAGAAATAAATAGACGCTTACCTTACTCGGTTTTATGAAGACCTAAGCACAATCACCTTCCACTACAGCTGCTACCTCACAGTTCAGAACCTTTAGAAAGAGCTTCATGCAGACTAGCAGGAAAAAGTGCAGCACCTGCCGTCAGAAGCATGCCCAGTTTGCAGGCAAGGCCTGAGCAACCAGCAGATGAGTGAGGTTGTGGAAAGTTGCAAGTTGTATAATCACAAGATTATATAAATTATAGAAATGATATAATCACAAGATTGTATTAATTGTTTCCTTCCTCTCCTATTTTCCATGTTTGAAGCTCAGCTTTGTGTTGCTGCGTAAAAGCTTTTGTCAAACTTGAAGAAACTGAGGAACAGCTCAATTAGTTGTTGCAAGCCAAAACCCCAGGGAAAGGCAGGATACAAAGGCAATTAAAAAATGCTATGTAAATATGAACTATGAATTGGAAAAAAAAAAATTATGTATTTCAAGCAGCAGGGAGAGAGTCAAGTGCTTAAACATTGGCATCAAGTACCATTTTAGGTGCCCTAGAGGACCTGGAACCTCTCCATGTGGGAGACCCGTGCTCTTCTGGCATGGGTTCATGTCTCACCCTGACACGGAACTGGGAGGTGACTAGGATGTACATGACTAGGACTGCTGGGCTAAACATAGAAGTAGTATAGTAATTCTGAGTTACCTCCGTTTGGAAGTTTAATTAAAAAAATAAAAATAAAAAAGAGACAAAAAGACATCAGACATACCACTAACTTCCAGATGCAATGAAATATTTGAGGTACAGCAAAGTGAGTTATAAGCTTGGGCTTGCTGGAATTTGCAGTCAAAAACATACTGAGTGGTGAGTGTTGAGGCTGCTTGTGCTAGGCCATTCTTTCATATGGAGAAAGAGTTATACCAGGAAGTAAGTCAAAAGCGTAAGGAAACACTGGAGTCAAGTAAAGTGTTACCAGCTGAGAAAAATACAACCAGGCAGTGCAGCAAAACGTGGTTGCATTTGGTTGCACCACAAACCATGTTGCACGAACAGACAGATAAGGTTCCATGAGTGATTTTAACATTTTAATTCTACACATTTTGAATAATTAACAGTGAAAATTAACATTCTCTTGGAATTTAGGCAATATCATGTATTTTTCTAACTACTGAACTTGCGAGGTCTTCTGTTCAAACACTAGAGCTACAAGAAGATATCCAAATCCAATCCTTGGTTGCCTAATCTGTACTGGGATGCGTAAATGTCCATTTTATGACCTCGGGTGTCAAAGTGAACAGCCAAACACATCTTTAGAATATTGTTTATAGACATTTTACAACTGGTTTGTTGGGAGTCTGGAAACACATTTCCCTGAAGGAAGTTGCACTTTTTTATTAACGAGTTGATAGCACTGTCAAAAGGAACATAGTCTAGAATAACTTACCATTCTATTACTTTTACTTGTAAACCTAATTATTGTACAGAATCAGTGCTATGAAAAAAATCAGCATTAGAGAAACTGAAAGACAAAACCAAAAAGCATTAAGACATTTCTGAGGAAAGTCTTTCATTCATTTAAAAAGTACTTGTGAGCAGGGCACGTAATAAATAGCTTACTTTCCCTTATGTGATTTTTACTTCATTTATAAAATAACCCTCAGTTTGAGAACTATTCTCCTTTGACACATTCCAATATTTTCATTTGTAATCCTGAAAACAGCAAGGTCAACAAACAAATATTTAAGCACTTTTCAAAATAAGATAATATACCTAGAATTCCATAAATTAGACATCAATTTTGTTATTATCTACTCTATGCAGCAATGCAGCTATTGGTAAATAGGTATGCAACAGAAATCAAATTCTCTTAACTGGATTTGAAGGCTTCACTCTGTAAAAACAACTAACTTTTTTTTCCCCAGCACTTACAATGTATTTTGTTTATATGTTTTACAAAATGCCATCAAATATTCCAAGAAAGGGCTTGACATCATTGATTTCATCATCAAGAAGATATCTAATGAAGATTAGACAAACAAAAAAATTAAATTAGATATAGTACATCAAAACCAATGAAATCAGGAACACTATACAAAGTACAATCAAGAGATACCAAGACAAGCAAAATAACAAAGTACAAACAACAGATACCAAGACAAGCAAAATAATGTTAAAGTCTTTTCCTTTCTAAGAAAAGTTAGTTGCTACTATTATTGTGAAAATTCATCTTTTAAAAATTAAAATTATAAATTAACACATCACCTAAAGGTCTGTGTTCCATGAAGAACTAAGCACTGGAACACTGAGGCAACAGAAAAACATACACAATGTTTTATTACCTGGGATCCACTTCTTTTTCCTGTTCTTTTGTGAAAATAAAAAAATCCTCTTTCCTAGTGAATTTAGAAGAGTCTGAGATTATTTTTGAGATCGAAGAGCACTGTATGTTTTTCAGCTCTTGTGAAGGATTTGAATGCTTTTTTTCTTGAAAACTGAACTGCAATGTAAATGTTAAAAAGTGTACATGGTTAAAACAACTAACCAAAAGAGAAACTGCCAGATTGTTGTAGTATGTAGTACAGATATTTATATTGATATTATGGTATTTGACAAAGACCAAGCACATGATAAATTATATACAAATGATAATTATATACTTGGATAACCTGCAGAATCACAATCAAATTGAGTAAGTAGTTTTGAAGTCACGCTATAGAAAATAAATTCAAGCCCTAGTTCTTTGTATCATGAATATCACACTGAACACAGGATGCACGCGTATTTGGACAACACAGAAAAGTTCAGAAATTCAGTGTGTCCAAACTGATTCATAAGTCAGATAAGGTAAATAAATTTACACATGAAATACTCTAATTAAAGGAAATTCTGTTATAGAAATATTTTTACTCACTGTATTTATATTTCCACTCGGTACAGATAAATTAACTTTTGATGTGCTATTAACCACAGAAGCAAATGAGTTCTGAATGTTGGTCTCATCTTGTAATGTGCATGAACTGAAAATATCAAGTTGAATAATTTAAGTATTTTTACAGAAGTGCAAAATAATTTACTTTCGGTTCAGGTTTTTCTATTTATTTCCCTTCACACTTATTAAAAAAAAATCAAATCATTCAACAATTCGTACCTTTTAAAAGTTGAAGCTTCAATCACTTTTATGAGTGAACAACCTTCTATACATTTAACTATACAGATACATGTGAAATACAAACAATATTTTTAACTGAATAAAATTATAATAAATTATATAATGCTTACTCTTTCGAAATGTCGTTTGTGGCTTTGCTTCTTGTATAGTGGCAAAGTGGTTCACACTCATCTGGAATTTGAAGGCAGATATTTCCATGTTCCATATAAGAATGAAAGTTTTAAAAACTGAGTCACAAAACAGCCGAAACCCCTTGTCAATTTTTTTCATAATATGATAAATAATAGTTTGAAAATTATTCAAATGTCTTAACACTCGAAATATTTCTTCCGTGGGTTTTGGGCTAATGTAAAGATAAGCAGAGATAAGCAGTCGGATAAATTAACAAATATGCAGTTGCAGGCCATCAAAAAAATTTTTAATTATGACTTTTCTCAACTCTCCCTTCTGTATTAGATTTGTCTCAATATAGGTGACGATCAAGGTAGAGTAATAAACCTGTCGTTCAAGTCAATTAACCAAAAAGTTTCAGGTAGTTCTATTCATTGTATACTATAACAAATTATTCTCAAATAATAGCCTGTAAAATAATTTGTACATAGGAAACAAAAGATTTTTGTTAAGATAACCTTACCTAATTCTCTACTAGCAAAGTTGCTAGCAAGTACTAATTTCTCATCATCAATATCATCCCAAACATCATCTCTCAGTTCAAAGTCCACATCCAAAGCATCTGAAAAACAAGATCTGCTTTTATCTGTATCAGCCAAGTTATGCATTAAAGATTCTTTAACATTTTTTTTATGCCATTGTCTCTTGGCTCTTCTCACTCAAACACTGAACGTATCCAAGAGAAAGCTGTAATACATTCATAATGGACAAGTACAACAAAACCATTTTGTTTTACGACCAGTTATTCAATCTATTGAAAGGAGCATTGTCACAAATGCACTTTTTCCTCAGCTTTATTTTGAGAAAACTTATCCTCAGTGTAGATTCTAGAAAAACAGGCCTTATAAAAAAATCACTGCAATTTCATTCTTTCCCTTTGTCAGAAGCATTGTTTGATTCCAAATTTAATACTTTTAATTCAGTCCTTTCTTCTCTCCACAGTTTTCCAAAACACTCTGAATGCTGTCTTCCTCCCATACATCTAATGCCGTGACAAACATATTTTCAAGCATCGTTGTTAAAATTCTTAATTAAAATGTGATAGTTAATGTTTTAAAATACTTTTTTTCTGGTGCAAAGACGACTTTCGTGTTTCCTCTCTTACTCTCTTTCCCTTTTGTTTGTTGTATTCTCTCTTTTTATCACCAGTCCAATTCTCTCTGCTAGTTTTTTTTCCTCTCTCTTCTGCCCTCCAGCATCAGACAGTGCTGGAATCTTCAGTCCTTTGTCATGGCCCTAATATATGCTTATGAAACCCTGACCCAGGTCTCCCTTTCAACAGAGGGGGAGCAGGACAGGCTCAAATCAAAAATCCTGTTCTACAGACACTGGCAACACCAGGAAGGCACTGCTATTCTAATTTTGGATGTGCAGTCAGCACAGTGCTTTATTGCACAGACACACAGACTTTAAATAAATTATAGGTTTAGGTTACTACAATTTCACAGTATATTCTTAATTACCTCTTTTTTTTTTTTTAATGGAATAGAAAGATACCATATTACAGATGCAGTTAACCCTATAAAAATCATATGAACTGATGCCTTACTTCATTAGAACTATTTCTGGTGCATTTTTTTAAATGCAGCTGGCCCAATCAGTATGGCTACTACTATTCAATGGAGATGGTTTTTAGTCAGCAATATCTACTACGTCCCCTTGATCCTGTATGATTTGCCTCAAGATGTTCTTAAGCATAGACTATGGCTATACTGGAATATCCATCTGTCTTCCCATGACTTTATTCTTTTACCACAATCACACCATACACTAACTGCCCACCCCGCACAGCAACTGATGATATGGCTATGCAACCATCTTCCATCTTAAGACTAGGTAACAACTATAGCAGGTAAATTAGTATGGCAGGAAAACACAAAGCATTAATTTAAAGGAATAGGATTACAATCCCATCATCAAAATATTAAGTAAAAATGAAATTATGCAGCATAGCTGCCAACACTTAAGGCAGTATGAACTAAAAAACATTTCAATTCATTTCAGCACAGTGTTTCTTATATGCCTGAGCGTGATCTGAACATTGGAGCTGCTACTTATTAACCAAATTAATCAAAACCTGATTCACATCAATCTACTGTCACCAAATACAATGGCAAAAGGCATGCAGTGAGGAGAACATCACAGTTATATACTGATAATGAAGACTGATCATTTAACACCAAATGTAAAAACATTTGTAGCCTTTCCAGTGGAAGAGAAACAGAAAGAATAAATTTTTTTTCCAGATAGAGATGTTTTACTAGTTATGAACTCAGTTACTGAATGGTCACGTTCTGTCAGCTACCAAACAAAAGCTCGTATTTCACTAACTTCTTCCAGCAGAAAGGGAAAAGAAGAAAATGTAGAGATATAGGGGTAAAATACCTCTTGTATTACAAGCAGCTTCAGTGGAAATACATTACAGTCATACCCTTCAGGAAGTATTTATAGATTTTGACCCTCATATATTTGATTTAGTCATTACTGTTTTATTTAAAGGTACATTTAGATGCTTAGATCTACATTAGAAATTCTTACCGATACCAGAAAGAAAGCCAGTTAAGGCCCCTGTATTTCCCTATACATTCAGTGTTCTATAATGCTATACTGGTTGCTGTAGTGATTTCAGCAAGTTTGAGTTTACAAGTATATTCAAATCAAAACAGTGAAAATCAATTTCAAACATTAGCAGTAACTTACTACTCTTTCCATAATTCCAGGATTGTAGTTGTCTCTGAGATCCTCCTAAGCTATTAATATTATCTACCTGGTCCACTGAAGGTGATGAAGACGACTGTTTATTGCTAGGCCTTT